TCCTCTCAACGCCTTCACTTTGCTTTCTCGAGCTCTGCAACCTCTGACCCCATCCCTGCACCTGTCCCAGTTTGTATCTGGACAAATTGAAACGGGATGGGTTTTTCCCCTGCACTAAGCTGGGTGGGTTCCTGGACCACTCAGAGGCTTTGAAGAAGGAGGAGGGAGGGATTTGGGCTGGAAAACCATTGGCAAGGAGTAAAACCTCAGGCTGGCAAAGAAAACATGGAAAAAATGAGCATGGAGGGCAAGTGGTACTTGGGGATACATTCATTCCCACCTCTACCTATCTCTTAAATTAATTAAACCTGGAATGTCCTGAATAAAAAAAATCAATTAAAATAAATTAAATATTTTTTCTAAATCAATTAAATAAAATTTTAATGTTCGTTAAATAAATTTAAAACTTAACAAAATCGACTAAACGCCAAATATCCCAAACAATCTCCAAAACAGGCCAAAAACATCCCTAAAATATAAACAACATCTTTCTGGGCTGGAGGATCTCAGGGCCCCACAATCACGCTGGTTTGCACCAAACCCCCACAACCAAATTTATTAAAATGAGAGGGACTGGTGGGTCCTGTCGCACCAAGGACGAAAATGATGTGTTTGGTACCCATGCTGTTTTCCCCGACTGCCATCCCGGGGCTCCCAACCCACAAGGAGTCCCCCTCAAAAAGGGGGTCCCCAGCCAGGTCCCCACCATCCAACAGATCCCCATCACGAGGCTTAAACACCTTTACAAGAGAGTAATTTAACGCCATTCCCAGCTTAAGCTCCATATCTACCGGGCGTGAAATTAGTTCCAGCAAGCTGCAAATTTGCTGCTAATAAAAATATTTAGCAATTCGCCAGTCTTTAAATCAGGAGCAGAATATTTTCTTGCTTGCATCAACGCCTGTTTCTTTTTAATTCTAATATTGCAGCGTCGAGGAGCTCCAGCCGGAAAACCGGGAGTTTTACGACTGCGCGAAGAGTTTTAAATCAGTTCCCCCATCCAGCACTTCCCACTCTGCCAGCGAGAGTCTGATCCTTCACTATCATTTGATTGTAGGCCATGTTGGTTATTTTGGCCACCAGGATGAGCTGGGCATGGTGGACTTGCAGGTTTTAACCCAAAAAAAAAGGGCGTCTTGACCCAAACCCGCTCCACTTCCAGGACCTGCTCCTTGAGCGGGGTCCTACAAAAGAGCTTTGATCCATATGATCCTGTCTTGCAGGCCTTGAAGGAAGGTCACCTCTCCGTCCTCCTGGGCCAAGCGTTTAATTAGCCTCAGCACTAATTGCATCTCCATGCCAAGCCCATTTCATACAATTCCACCATCAGGATCTTTGTCGTGCCTTTGCCAAGAAATGCCACAATTCCCTGATTTTTCCCTTGGGAAAAATTACCTGCAGTGATGAAGCATCTTTCAAATCATTCCTCAGCATTGGAGAATTATTTAAGCCCAAATAAACCCTTTGCATTGGGTTTTCTGGGCCGTGAGCATCCAACAGCACGTGGATGATCTGCCTCTCCTTGTTCAAAGCACGGTATTCCTTGAGGGCCTTGCCAGGAAAGGCTTTATGATACCTAAATTATTGCTATCAAACACAATGGAGCTGGAATCAATCATTACCATATCACTTGTCATTGGTCCTGTCCCCAGCACAAGGGTTTGGATGCAAATGTCACGTGGTGCAAGTCAAAAGTCTTGGAGAAACCTGGACCTGTGACACCAGCAAACGCCCCCATATTAACAGTTATCCTGGAAAACAACCACCACAAATATGAAGCTTCTCCCAGATTCATGCAAACAACACAAAAATCCTCAATTTCTAGTGCGTTTGTACATTTTTTAATTTACCTTTTATACTCAGCATTGCCTTTCTCCTACTTTCTGTTACCTTTTTTTTCCAGGTGCAATGCAACTCTGATACAAAGAGTAAATGGGACCAAGTCCCAGCAGGTAAAAGATGGAAGGAAAAGTTATTTTAGGCCAGCAGTAAATGATCCTTTGGTCATAAAATCTAATCTTTGCATTCAACTGACCAGCTGCCAGAGCAGTCCATAAGGCAAATCCCCAGCCAAGCATTTCTGATGCCAGGGGGAGGCTGAGATGCAGAAGAGGGATGTGTTTAGGATGATGAGTTTTGTTGCAGATGGGATGAAGAAATTTCTAATGAAGGTTGTGCTTGGAAATACCACACCAATGAGCTTGGTTTTCCCAGGTTCCTTCTCCCAGTCCCTTAGCTGTGGATTTACCATTTGCCTCCTTTGTGCTCAAAGAAACCATAATCCCACTGTGGTACCCTGTGGACCATGCAAATAAATATTACAGATATATATATATATAATTTATATCCCTATGAATAAATATTATAGGGATAAATATATAGGCTTTTTGGAGCTGCTGGACATCATTTCAAATCCAAACCTCAGTGCTTGAGTTGCCATCAGCCCAGTTTTGATGGTGGGGTTGAAAACAACAAGCAGCATGGCTCAAACCTGGCCGCTGGATGTGGTTGCTGGAGTGTATATTGGATTTATTCTTCAACCTCTGGCCAAATACCTGGGATTTGGTGCAGTCCATCACTGGGCTCAATAGCTGGATGATTCATGTTCCCTGCTGCAACCTCTTGAACTGGCTTGATGTTGTCATTGCCAGCATCAAGAAACTACCAGGAGATGGAGATAAGAAATAAAGATCTGGTCAATACAGGAAGAAGTTAAAGAGGCCGTTGGAAAAGCTGTGGGTAAAAGGTAGAAGAGAAAAATAAATCAAGAAAAAGCCTCACTGGCTGATGGACAAAAAATTATCACTTTCAGATGGAAAGCCAAAAGACAGGAGAGGAATGGCAGAAAAAGAAGGTTCCAGCTGAAAACAGGGCTGTGGAGAAGAAATCTGGGGTTTTACAAACGACTGGAAAAGAAATGGCAAAATAGAGAAAAGCGAAGGGATGTTCCCAAACAACAGGAGCAAATCTGTAATTTCTGCTTGCCAACAGGAGCAGGAAGCTTGGGGAATAACAGAGGAGAAGATGGACATCGGGGATGTGGGGTTTGCAGAGGGGAAAAAAACCTGCCTGGTGGGATTAACAGCACAAGGTGGAGCGGGAAGGAGTTTGCTATCAAACATACGCTTTTAATATGTTGGCAGCCGGTTCCTACTCGATGCCAAGTAAAGGCAGGTGTCAGAAACAGTTTGTGCTCTGCTTGCTGAGGTGGTTGGTATCACGCCGGCGACCCTGATTTCCTCGCAGGGAGAGGCAGGTCGGTGCAGCACAGCACAATTAACTGCTGGTTTATTCCTCCCATCGCAAGGAGTGACAGGAAACAGCACCTGGGTGACATTCTGTGCAGCCAAAGCATCCTCAGACTTCAAGCATTTGAGGGGGGAAAGGGAATATATCAGTGTTTTTTCAGGTTAACTGGTAGTTGAGAGCTGAGTGCCTGGAGTTGGAATAAAATGGTCTTTAAGGTCCGTTCCAACCCAAACCCTTCTGGGATTCTGGTATTCTATGACAAAGTCACTCATCAAACCACACTGGCCAGGGTCTGATGGGCAAGATGAAGGATGGTGAAGAGGCAGGATTTATAAACAGGTTGAAAAACTGATTTTAAATGGAAATTTCTCTTGCCTTGATATTAGAAAATGCTCAAAGCATTGACAAATCCCCATGGTTTGGCTTGGCTGCCCCAGCTCCCCAGTATGACTGTTCCAAAACCCTGTTGGTAGTCCCTGTGTATTAACCAAATCTGCCTGATTTCGCCCCTAAATATTTTGAGGGCGTGGACAGTTGAATTTCTAGGATTTGGGGGCGAAAGCGTGTTCAGAGGCGCTCCCCGCAGCGAGGTGGGCACGAGTTGGGTAACCAAGCACTGACCCGCCTGCACTGGGAGAGGAGAGGAATTCCAGTTCCAGCGGGAGCAGCTCCGAGATCCGGGTGGGGGCCACAGCCGCGGGACGGGGGGCGACTGAAGTGGGTAGTTCTGGGCGTTCCATGACGACAAGGAGGGCCAGGGTTCAACAGGGACTTGTTTCAATAGGACTCCCACTGAGAGCGGGATTGGGATCGGGATTGGGATTGGGATCGGGACCGGCCGTGACGCGCCCCCGCCTCCGGCAGCGCGGGAAAGGCGCCGGCCCCGCCCCTCGCCCCGCCCCTCAGCCAATGGGAAGCGCCGAACTCGCGTCAGGTGGGGCGGGGAAAGCTGCGGTCACGCCCCGCGCCCCGCCCCTCAGCCAATAGACAGCGCGGGGTGCGCGTCGGGCGGCGCTGATTGGCCGGGGCGGCGCGGTTGCTAGGCAGAAGTGGCGGCGCGGCATGGCGGGCGCGCTGGGCGTGGGGCCGGGGGTGCTGGCGCTGCTGCTGCTCTGGGCCATGGCGCTGCTGCTCGGGATGGCGCTGGCCCGCGCCGGCCGCGCCCGGTGAGCCGCGGGGACGGGGCGCGACGGCCCCGGTGAGCCGCGGGGATGGGGAGGGGGGACGGGCCCGCACGGTGCTGAGCCCGCCCCGCCGTTCTCCGCTCTCCCCGCAGGGTCGCCGCGCTGCCCGTGGTGCTCGGAGCCGCCGCGCTCACGGCCGCGCTGCTGCTCTTCCCCCGCGAGGGCGAGAGCCCGGCCCCGGCCAGCGCCGAGGAGGTGAGCCCGGGCCTGAGCGGCCAGGCGGGCCCGGGGGCGGGGGGCGGTACCCCGGGGATGTGCCTTTGCCCCAGGGATGGGCTCCGGGGATGCCCTGAGCCTCTAGAAATGGACCCTGGAGATGTACCTTTGTCCCAGGGATGGGCTCCGGGGGTGCCCTGAGCCTCTAGAAATGGACCCTGGAGATGTGCCTTTGCCCCAGGGATGGGCTCCGGGGATGCCCTGAGCCTCTAGAAATGGACCCTGGAGATGTGCCTTTATCCCAGGGATGGGCTCCGGGGATGCCCTGAGCCTCTAGAAATGGACCCTGGAGATGTGCCTTTATCCCAGGGATGGGCTCCGGGGATGCCCTGAGCCTCTAGAAATGGACCCTGGAGATGTGCCTTTATCCCAGGGATGGGCTCCGGGGGTGCCCTGAGGCTCCGGGGATGGATCCTGGAGATGTGCCTTTATCCCAGGGATGGGCTCCGAGGGTGCCCTGAGGCTCGAGGGATGGATCCTGGAGATGTACCTTTGTCCCAGGGATGGGCTCCGGGGGTGCCCTGAGCCTCTAGAAATGGACCCTGGAGATGTGCCTTTATCCCAGGGATGGGCTCCGGGGGTGCCCTGAGGCTCCGGGGATGGATCCTGGAGATGTGCCTTTATCCCAGGGATGGGCTCCGAGGGTGCCCTGAGGCTCCGGGGATGGATCCTGGAGATGTGCCTTTATCCCAGGGATGGGCTCCGGGGGTGCCCTGAGGCTCCGGGGATGGACCCTGGAGATGTGCCTTTATCCCAGGGATGGGCTCCGAGGGTGCCCTGAGGCTCCGGGGATGGACCCTGGGGATGTGCCTTTACCTGCTGCACATCCCTGACTGCTGCCCTGCGGCCCCGGGGATGGGCCTTTACCTTGGGAATGGCCCCAGATGCGTCATTTCCCCAAGGATGGGGCCATCCTGAAACCCTGGGAATGGTTCTTTATCCCAGGGATGGGCTGCAAGGGTGCCCCGAGGCCCCGGGAACGGCCCTGCGCTGCCTTTTTGGTCTCCTCCTCTGGCACAGTCTCTGGCTGGCACGGGCTGTGTGGCTCCTGGGGCCGCTGTCTCTCAGTTTCTCTGACTAAATCCCTGATTTTTGTGCTGTTCCACCCTGACCTCTGGGATTTGGCTCCCAGGGGCTCTGCACAGCCATCACACCCCTGCTTTGGTCCCTCCCAGCTCCAGCAGCTCCTGCTCCCCCTCTGCCGCCCCCTTTCCTTATAATTTTCCTTCCGATGTTGCAGCCTTTCGCTTTCCCCCAGCCGTGTTTTCTGTTTAAGCCCAGTAACTGCTCTTCAGCTCTCTTTGTAGGTTATTGCTGTGCTCGAGCATGGAGCCATCTGTGTTTTCAGGCACAGGATCTCCCCCAACCTGGGGTTCCATCAGGCTGCCTGAGCTGCCACCTTGAGCTCTCCCAGAGCTCTTTGGGCTCTGAACACACAAAGTTTTGTGGCCTTTCAGGTGCCGTTTCCTCTGTTCTATTATTAATGCGCGTTAATTATTGCTTTTCTGGATTTTGATCTGTGTAAATCCCTACTAAAAGATACTTGTAAGGTTCTTTTCTTCTCTCTGTGTTGCATGTGACCTGCCTGTGTGAAGGTTGGGAGCGAGATGAAGGGCAGCCCAGCACGTGTTTGTGCCCGGGAGGCGAATGCAATTGGAAAGCTTCTTTTTTTTTTTTTTTTCATGGATCTTCAATTGGACTGGACCTGCCCTGCCTATCAATAATACATGACCTGGGCTTTCTGCACCAAAACTCTGCTAATTGGCTAATTAAAAAGTGAAACGTGCAGAAGGAGCCAGCACTTCGCTCACCAGAGACTGTCTCTGCAGCAGCACCAGGGCTGAGCATGTGCTAATGTGATGGATAAAGCTGAGCTGGGGCTGAGCAAAGCTCGGGGGGGTCTCGGGAGCAGAGAGGGGGATTTTGTAACCAGCCTCCTCGCTGTTGGCTTCTCTTTGTGTCTAGCCTTGCTGCTGTAGCTTCTTTTTTAAATTTTTTTCTTCTTTTCCCACTATTTCCCTTCTAAAAGGGAATCAGGGCTGGAGGTTTGTGAGTGGGGAGAGCTGCTCCAGGGCTTGGTTTGTGTCCCTTCCCTGTGCTCAGTACTGTGCTGCTCCACATTAACATTCCCACAAGTAGCATTTTGCAGAGATTCCTGTCGCTCATCCCATGCCAGGGATGAGAAGCAAGGGGAGAAATCTGGGGGAGCCCCAGAGGTTCTCTTTTGCAGGCTGTGGCGTGCTCCCTCCAGGCTCCAGGAGCAGACTGGGGCTGTGACATGTGCTTGTGTTCCCCCCAGATCGTGGACTCCTTCTTCATCGGTCGCTTCGTCCTCCTGGCTGTGATGAGCCTGGTCTTCCTGGGGTGCCTGTTCCTGCTCCTGATTTACCACCTCATGGAGCCCGTGTATGCCAAGCCACTCCACAGCAGCTAGAGACAGCGATCCCTGCAAAGAGAAAATCCCAGTTTCGTGAGGACAGACCAGGAAGGGAGACCAGGAGGCTGCTCTGGAGGTGACCACGGTGGTTTTTCCGAGCTCAGGAAGCACCAGCAAAGCAAGTGAAGGTCACTTGCACCCAGCACTGCAGCTTTCATCGTTAAAGGCAGGGTTTGGGCTGAGCACAAGCCTCTTCCTCCCCAGGGTCCTCAAGCCTCTGCATCTGCCAAGGCTTTAGAACCTTTGTCTCCTCGTTTACAGGCGAGCTGAGATCAGGCACTTGGTGCTGTCCCTCATTCAGGGAATTGAACTGAACCGAGATGGTTTGTTATTGTTACCCACAAGAGATAGTTTGTTACTGCTCCTTTTGCACTGTCATTTAATAAAACTCTTTCAGAAACCGCTGACTCAGCCGTTATTTATTCTCTAGGAATGTCACTTTTGGCCAGCCCTGTGGTGATGGTGCCTCTGAGAACCACCTTTTCCTGGGGCAGACCTGAGGGTTTGGGGGGGAAAAAACAAGCAAACAAACCATCAGTGTGTGGCTGTGGATTGCTGGGGATGGTCCCTTGGACTGGAAACCAGGGGCTTTGGAGGGGGGAGGGAACAACAGGCAAAATAATGCCAAAACAGCACATGGAAAGCTGCCCTTCCCGGGGGTGCAGAGGAAAGGTGGGTCTCACCTCCCTGTGCAGAACAGTCCTGCCAGCCATGGAAACCCCCCTTGCTGATACCCAAGTGTCCCCTGGGTGTGAAGGACCCCAAGGTGTCACCCTGGGTGGGGCTGAAGGCTCAGAGTTGCTGCTGCCCTAAAGCTTCAAACCACAGCTCACTCCAGCACAGGTCCTGCTGAAGCTGCTGATCAACTCCAATATCTTCCCTCCTGCAGGGAAAAAAAACACTCCTTATGTTTTGCAGCAGCAGCAATGGGGTTGAATCCCATTTCTCTTCCAATTTTTTTTCAGGGAAGCAGAGCCAAGCCATCAACCTGTGCTGAGATGAACCTGTTGGCAGCAGCAGCAGCAGCTGGGCTGGGTGTCTGCACAGCAATCGCTGCTCTGTGCCCTCGGTGGCAACAGTTTCTTTTCTTGCATGAAATTTCAAAAGGCTTTTAAATTGCAGGAGAAAAAGGTTTTGGTGGCCTGGAGAATCCCGTGACCGTTTTGGAGCAGGGAAGGAGCCTTTACCACCCCTGCTGCATCAGGGAGAGGTCCCCACAGGTGAGGTGAGTTATGGCTCATATTTTCCAGCCCCAGCCAGGGGGATGGAGCTGCTCAGCCTTCCACGGTTCAGCAGGCAGCGGGTATTGCAGTGAGGTCAAAGCCAAGCGTGAGACAGCCCCAAGCAGTCGGGGTCAGAGGCAATATAGCCAAAAACTTCAGGGCAGAAACTTAGATTTTTAACTCTTTCTCCATTTTAGAGATTTTTTTTTTATTATTATTATTTTTCATTTCGAACTGAAGATGGTGAGAGTAAATTAAAGAACCAATGGGCTTCTTTCAGCCATGTCCTGACAGCTGTCAGTCACCAAACAGCACCGTCAGGACATGAAAGCCTGATAAGCCAGAGCCAGCGGGCATAGAGACGATGCTTCCCTGGCAGCAAATGCCCCAGCACCCCGGAGCACGAACTCAGGCAGCTAAAAAAAGGTAAGTACACTCCCAAAAAAGGCGGAGGAGAGGCGTCCCTGCTTTCCAAACTGGAGAAACACTCGACCCCTTCCCATCCTGACGCTTTTGTCCACGGGAGCCGAACGGTCGTGCTGAGGAACACGCCGAGCGTTTGTGCAACACGAGCGCGTTGGGGGTCTCTGGGTGATTTGGAAGTTATGCCTGAAACAAAATTCATATTTAATTCATCATCTTAATAACATTTATGAACACGGAGATTGTCTGTGTGCCCCTGCCATGTCGTTATTCCCGTGCTGGTGGGATGATTTGAGGGAGCCTCGGTGAGGCCACGGTGGCACTTTGCCAGGGTTGGAGTAGGGCAGATGGGGGGCCAACCACGGCAAAAGTACTGGGGGCACTAAAAACCCGACCCTAAAAGCAGAAATGTGAAAATTCTTCCCGTTTTGCGCTGTAAATAAACCCAAAAAAGGGCTTTTTCCTTCCCTTAAACTGTGTGACTAAAATCAATCAAGAGGTTGATGGTGCGGGGAGGTATTTTGGGGAGAATGGAAAGCCATGCTGCAAGAGAGACATGATTAAGGAGGCAATTTCAGCATTTTCCCCAAAATCCTATTAATTGGAGAAAGAGCCCCATGTGCTCTCACCCCCACCAAGATGTTTCATCCTCATCCTTCACCACCCCTGGCAGTGGGGAACGACCGGCTGGATGAACTCAAGCTGGGCTCTCCCTGTATTTATTTATTCTGGACCATTCTGCTCCTCTCCGCACAGGGGCTTTCCAGACAGTTCCTGTTTATTTTTGGGAAAGGAAAGACCACGTCAAAGAATTGGTATGAGCCGAAGCTGCTTTCCAACCAGCCCCAAATGGGGATTTTTTGCTGCTGTCCCCATCCCAAACCTTCAGCTCCCAGAGGATAACCTCTCATTAGCACATCCACCTCTGCCTAGCACCCTGATCCTTTATTTTTAAATTGTTGTGCAGTGAGAGGGTGGGTTTGGCTTAAATCCCAACCTCTCACTTGCTGATGAGGGTGTTGGGAGCTTGGGATATGGGATAGCCAAGGAGCCCTGCTCCAGCCCAAACTGAGCAAATGGTCCCAGCTTTCCCCTGGCAGGGTGGGAGCACCGGCTGTGCCGTGTCCCGAGATGCCAGCTCTGTGCAGGCAAAAAATCAGGCTGAATCCCGGGCAGAGAAACCTGTCATGCCAAAAGGGCACATGTCAAAAGATACTGCAGGTGGCACGATTAGGACAGCCAGGCTGCTTTCAGGTCAGGAGGGAAAACATCCCTTTTCCCCTCTAAATCCCCTGCCTGGCATGTTAGAGGCGAGTGGGGATGCTCCTGCACCGCGATGCGGGTGCCCAGGCTCACCACCCTGAGGGCAGCCGCTCTGTCCTGCCCGAGGCCGGGCGGGGAGCAGCGCCAAAGCAGGGATGGAGGGAGCGCCAGTGCCTGCAGGGGAAACTCCTCTCCTTGATTTAAGGTCCTTGAATGACGGCAATTCCTCACGCCTCACGCTGCGCTCTGCCGGCACTTAATTACCCTCGCTGGAAAAGCTGCCCTCAGATTTCCACCTTGACTTTGCTGACTTCAGCTTCCCTGCTGTTGGATCCTGCTTTGCCTTTGGCTGCTAATTAAAAAGCCCTTCAGCCTTTGCCGGCTGCTCCTTGCATAGGTAATTACGGACCGTGTCCCAGCCACCTCTTCACCTCCCCAGCAGCCCGGCGGACCAGCAGCATTCCTCCAAAATATGAGCAGCCTCTTCCCAACCCACCCCCCGGGTGAACGGTATCGCTGTGCTGGGGGGCTGTGGGGTCACCCGCGGAAAAACCCAAGCTCTGCGTCTGCCAAACTCAAAAAGAGCCCGTTTCAGGCGGGATTTGTCCCGTCACAGGACAGCGGGGGACGCGTGTCCGTGCTGGCACAACCCCTCACCGCAGCGCGGTGCCGAAGGAGCTCGTGGCACAGGGAAAAGCAGCGGCCCCTTCTCTGTCGGAGAAGGAAAAAGGAGAGGTGAGCCTTCCAGGCTCCTCCTAGAGGAGCTCAGCTCCATTTAAACAGTTCTTTGGCTGAGGCAAACCCAGGGGATCTCCCTCTCGCCTTCCTGCCCACCCCTCAATCCCAAATCTCAGCGAGCTCTGGGGTTTTCTTTGGCATTTGGCTTTCTTTATTTTAAGTTTAAAACTGCCATGGGCCATGTGCCCTCTCTCCTCGCTCCCAGCAGCACAGCCAAGGCTGCTCAGACTTTCCAAACACGAGTGGGACATGGCCCAGACCTAAATTTGTCCTGGAAAAACTGTGGTCAGCTGAAAGAACAGGCAGGAGGGGATGGGGGAGGGGGCAAACAAAAAGGGAAGAAAGGGGAAAAAAAAATTCCCCAAACCAACTTGCCGTTGCAATAAGCCCCTGTGTGTGTCAGAGCTTGTGGGATTTTTGCTTGAAAATGTATTTTGAGTGCTCCAGCTCTCCAGCACAGAGGGATGGTAATTAAGCAACACGAAACCTCCGTCACACGTGCACTGAAAGAGCCGTTCTCAGCCCAGTGGCATCGCTGCCGGGTCCTCAGGCCCCTCAGAGGCCACACGTGCCACGAGCCACATGGCCTGGGGACACTGCAGTGTCAGCCTTTTGGCTCTGCTGAGGACAGACACAGTTGTGACACCTCTCCCTATGACTCCGTGAGAGTTTGCCCTAGGGGGGTTGGTATTTTCCTGGGAAAAAAGGGTAATTGGTGATTTTGCTTTTCTCTGCCTGCTCCACCATTTTTTCTGCTTTTTCTCCCAGGCAACCAATGAGTTTCCAAGCCCCACTGAGCATCTCTGGCCAGTGTGAGGGGACCAAAGGCCACCTCAAACCTGCAGCTGCCACTCTCCAAGTTGCCTGTCCCCCTGTGCTGCTCCATCGCCCTCAGGGGTTTACAGGGAGCTGATCCAACTGGCCGCAAGTCTCCTCTTTTTTTTTTTTTCCCCCGGCTTTTTTTTCCTCTCCGCTGATGAAATCAGCACTTAATAAAATCACATCAGGCCCAGATGTTTTCTCCTCGGGTTAAGATCCAAGAAGGTGAAGTCAGTTAGAGTTCAGGTTTACACCGGGCACAACTGGAGCTTGCCTGGGCATGATCCCTGGACAGTGAGCAGGCTGGAAACACAACCCACGGCATCCGAGCACCCCGTGCACCCCAGCGTCTCACACATCAAAATTTGG